GCACTAAATTATTGCGTTACATCGTAATTGCACTACTATAGTAGGTAAAACCGGTTAAGTTTAGTTCGGAAGTGGTTGGGACTATTTTGGTACCAAAAACTGAATTTTCGTGATTTTTGAGAAAACGGAACACAATAAAATCAGAAAATTGTTTGAAAAATTTGAGTTAGGACAGTAAAAATAGTTGTTCGGTCAACATCCACTAGTGAATCTACAGGTTTTAAAAAAGCGCTTCCTGAGAACCTTCCGGTTTACAGAGAAATTGTACTTAACGTGTTTGATTCAGTGGATTCATCAATCCGGAGGGGTCCAGGTAGCATAGTTTTTCGCAAATTTTTTCAACTAAAGCGTTTTAGATCGAGTCTTTTGCAAAAAATTAGAAGAGTATAGGTCTTCTGAGCTCGGATCAAAAATTTGTTGATCGAAGCGAACAGAATTGCGGAAAAAGTTAGGCGGAACCTATAAGAGAGAAATTTCTTGACTTTAGAAAAAAGACTTCTTGGTTAATAACTTTGGAACTATTGGACAAATCTAGTTGATCTTGGTACCAATAGATCAGAAATAAGCTGAGCTTACTAAAAGGAACAAAAAATTTTCGAAAAAGTAAGCGTGAAATTTTTTTGAGATTGTTTTTAGCAAATTCACCAATTCGCGAGGGTAGACCCCTCACGTTTTATAAAAAATTTTTGGAAAGCCCTTACACCCCTACCAAAGGGTAGAAACGGTTGAATAAGGTAACTTTACGCTGTTCTAGAAGAATAGGGAAGGCTTAAGGCAGCGGAAAAACTTGATAGAGCCGAAATTAGGCTAGCGATAAGACCCTTCACCGTTAGCAAGAATTGTCAAATAAGAGGCTTAACTTCAGCCGGAAGGGTCTAAGGAAGGACCAGATACCCTTCCTAGTTGATACAAAAAGCATAATAGCATCGGAGAGCGTATCCGGAGGGGTATAGGTTGAAAATCAAGGAAGTCTCAGAAAAGCTAATTTTACAAAACCGGAGGGGTCAAAATATATTTTCTTCTCTCCTAATTCGGAGGGGTCCCAATCCGGAGGGGTCTTGTTTTCACGAAACCGGAGGGGTCCTTATCCGGAGGTGTCTTACATTTACTAATTCAGAGGGGTCCCAAACCGGAGGGGTCTCAATTTTGCAGATTCGGAGGGGTCCTATTTTTGCCAATCCGGAGGGAAACTGTTTTTGTCAACCCGGAGGGGTACTATTTTGTTTACGGACTTAAGTAGACAGAAGAAAAGATAGTAGTGAGGGGTGTTAGGTTAATAAGAGACAGGCTAGGAACCAGTGACTGCACTGGTAACTTGCCTTTGAAGAAAAAGACCAGACCAAAACAAAACAGGTCCAAACTCGGATATTCGCGACACTAAGTCTAAATTAAAAAAGAGTGTGTAACTCATTGGTGTGGATTGAAATCCAAAACGTTTTTGAGAAAGTGACTGCCCTGAGGATTTTAGTAGGTCTAGCTCGGGCATTCCGAAGGCAAATAGGTAACACAGTACTCGGTGGGTGCAATAGACGCCCACTTGAGAAATTTACTGCCTTCAAGTTTTGTCAGTTTGGTGCAGCACCAAGCAGGGAAAGCTCTTTCTTTATAAAAACAAGTTCGACTATTGTACTGCGACCGACTAAAAATACAATACACATACGTTTCTCATAAAATTATTCTTATTTTGTTATATCTGGTTTTAAATCAACAATTTGTGCTTAATTGGGTAGTGAATACACTATCTTTTAAATTGACTGATATAATCATACTGTGCTAGTTCTCAAATCTTACGACTGTTAATCGATTTTTGTGAATAAGATGTGAATACGCTGTGCCGTGATAACATACAAGGATTCGTGGTCATTATTTAATAGAAATTTTTGGAATTTATTGTGTTGTGTTATTTTTATCGATAGTCAAATTAGAAGGTCACCAGCAATCGAATTGAATGTATAGGCATTAAGAAGCGAAAAATTGAAAATGATTCTAGACAAGTCAAGAATACCTAAACGGGGTAATAGCTCTAGGAAATTCATACCTAAAAAGCAAAGAAGAGCAATGACCGACCCTTTTGTGGAACGGATCACACGAGCCCGGACCGACAAAGGGGAGATGGTTTCAGGCAGAATGGCTGGGCCCAGGAGTCAGAAGTCCTCGGAAGAGCGAAAAGCTATGCTAGAAGTGGAGGTCTATCCGGACCAGGCCATGAATGAGAATCAGGGAATACATGGACCGGAGGGGAGAGACAGAAGGCTGGCGAGTGAATCTACTCCGGTAGAACAAGGCCAAGATTTTACCACTTCCACCGGGACACTGAACCGAGAGGAGATGTCGGAAGTGTCCGACATCTCCACTGAAATTGTGGCAAATAGAAGATCTCCCACAGACAACACCATGATGGCAGGCGTGACGGAGAAACAGACAAAGTCCTCATCGTTCTCAGAAAGAATGAAGAACACTTTCGGAAACATCTTTCCATTCACCATGGGAGTAGGCACAGGAAATGAAGGTGAATCCCAGGAGGAAGAAGAAGACAAAGACGAGCAAGTGGACTTTGGATCTCAAGTCAGCCTCAATAGTTCGAGCCAGGAGAATGAGGCATTCGTCGAAAGAGAGACTGGAACTAAGGACAAATTTGGTGTGGTGAGAACGATAAGCAAAGACGCAAACACACCAGGCCAGTCAAGAGGCTTTGAAAGTATGACAAATTTAGAGACGCGAACCGGGGAGAATAGAAACAATGGGCTAGGCAACGCATCGGCGGATCCTGAGGTGGATAATGAAAAGACGTCGAGGCAGAGAATCAAAGCCCGAATCTCGACCAGCACGAAGCTACCTGGGATCGACAGGGTGACACCGCCACTAGTGACGCCACTAGTGGAAAACGGGGCAGCATTAGAAGAAGCCTTGAACAACATAGTGGGCAGTATAGGAGAACAAAATGAACGGATGTCCATAAGAATGAGAGAACTGGAAAGAGCAGTCCACATTGAAAGAGAAAGTCTCCGAGAAGAAATAAACCGCAATAGACAAGAAGTTGGTAGGAGCAAAAAACGCTTGAAGGAAAGAACGGACGAGCACATAGCGAAGCACTTGTCGCGAATGACAAGAGAAGCGGAACAAAGAGAGTTACGCTTAAGAGACGACATGGAGAAGTTAAGAATTCAGCAAGAGCAGTCTCTTGGGACTCTTGACACAAAGATAGATGCGATGATGGAGAGGCGAACTCAGGCTATCATGGATAGGTTGGACGGGCTACTAGGCAACAAGAATGGGAACCTAACTCGGGAGGTCCCAGCAGGGAGCCGAAGGTGAACTTAAATGACCATCAAAGGATGAGGAGGAATGGATCCACTAGAGGTAGGGGCAGTTCATCAGGCTATGCCACAAGGGATAATAGAACATGGGGCCGAAACAATAGAGCAAGTTCAACTGGGAACAGACAGACCTGAAACAAACGACCGACGCAAGGCACGCATGCGACTGGGAGAGGTGATTCTGGTAACAGGAGACATGCGAGCCCAGGGAGGAGTCATGTGGGCCAAGGGGGAAACAGTCACGGCGATTCGGATTGCAGGGATGCACCGAATACAGAGCTCTTAACAAGGTGCGATGATACTGAGGCGGGGCACCCGAGAGATGCTACGGCAATGGTCACAGCCTTCGAACCCCTGAACAGGTCTTTGGAGACATTCCTGACGAGGTTATCCAGAACCAATGAACGCAGTGAGAAGTCCAGAAGAGTCTTTAAAAAATCAAGATGCTACAAGACGAATCGGATGGCTGTATTGATACCTGGATAGAGGTAATGAAACTGCATTTCGAGGAAGAGGATTTATCGGAAAGACAAGAATGCTTGGAAGGGACAGCCCTGAACTGTGTCATGGCCAAGAAGCAATATCAGCGAGACACAGCTGAGAAAATTTTCGAAATCTTGTTAAATCGTTTTGGATCAAGGGTGCAGGGCCACCAGGCAACGATGTGCTTCGAGAAGCGGAGGCAACGAGAAGATGAAACGATAGACAATTTCCTAGACGATTTGGAAATTCTGAGAAGACGCAGCCAACCGGATGAGTCAAACAGAAGGATGAACCTGGCAGTAGCCTCAAAATTCATCGATGATGTGAAGAATGATGAACTTCGAACAATGCTAGCAACGCATTACACACCTTTATTCACCAATGCGCAAACACCAGAGGAGTTGAGGTTCAAGTCAAAAGAATATCTTTTTTTGAAACCTCCTTCGATATCTGGATATTATAAGAACAATTATGGCAATTTTAACAACGGACCAGCAAACCAAGGGAACAACTGGTACAAACCGAGGGATAATATGGACAAGAGACGCTCTTGTGCCAATTGCAGTTCAACGGACCATCATGTGTCAGCATGCCCAACTTACAAACAGGGCATGAAAACAATAGGCTTTATCCTCGAGGACGAAGATGCGTCAGAGGTTGATCATGAAGATTTCATGAGGGGAGTAATTGCAAAATTCGGCCCGAGGTGTTTCTTTTGCAACTTGGAAGGTCATTTTAAATCATATTGTCCGCAATTCTGGGATGCAGTGGCAGACATCAAGCATCCAAGACATAAAGAAGCTTTGTCAGGAGTGAAAGCCAGCAAGGCTCGCCTATTGAGCGCAGAAAAGGCAAACCGCAGGAGCTGGCAAAGAAGAAAATGCAAGAGGTAACAGAAGGGATATGCGGCGCGACTTTCAAAAACTGGGGTTGCCGACCACAATCAGGGGGGTGGTGACTTTCGGAACGTCCGATTGACTAGTTTTTGTGACTTTCGGAACGTCCGATTGACAGCGGCGCGACTTTCAAAAACTGGGGTTGCCGACCACAATCAGGGGGGTGGTCGCGCTATTTCTAATAATAACTTGCCATATTCAAAAATAGCTACTGAATATCGATGATGAAAAGGGAAAGCACAAATGAATTCGAAACATTAAAATAAAAAATACAAATAAATTTACAAAAACGATAAAGTCACAGTTCAGTTTTAATTCACAGTTCACTATTCACCGAGAACAAAAATTTGCGGGCCTTGTCATGTCAAAAACATGACATAACATTTTTTTTGATAAAAAATATAAGTTTACATCAAGAGCGAAGGTTTTCATCTACCTAATTGAAGCTTCTTTTCGATTTCAACTCGCTGATTCTTAATTTTTTTCCCATAATTTTGCAAAGAACTTAAAACATTGCTTGGTAAGTAGCTTGGTTAAAAAATACATCCACGGCCAACGTGGTACTTTGTCATAATTTACCAGATAAAGATAGTTCTTGGAAGCTAGAAAAAGAAAAAAGCTCTATGAATTCATGCAACACAGCCAACGCATATTGTTTTTTTGCAATGTTTTTAGTTTCGTACTGCCATTTTTCTCTTCTTCGATTTGTAATTCCTAATAAAGGGCGCCAAATTGACTTTTTCTTGCCATGTAATTTCGTTTTATGATGATTTCTTTTTTTTCATGTTTTTCACTTTTCGCTCATATTTCTAGTTTTCAGTTTCTTCGGGTTTTGTTCACGTTTTTTTTCACATCTGAAGTGACGTCAGAATACGTGTGTGTTCCTTAGCCACCAGTAGTAAGTCCAGTACACTAAATTGAAAAAGATGAAAGTGGTTGGGAAAAAAATCCTCGCTTTCTTATCCAGATTTTTCGCGTGTTTCAGACTGAGTCTCTTCATTGTCTCGTAATGGGAGAAAGGGGAGGTGTCTTCTTTGCTGTTGTCTTGTTTACCGTTTTTGTTGCTATTCATTGAGTTGTCGCGCTTGAAGCGCAGCTGAAAAAAAAAACAAACCTTGTTTTTTTCTTAAAACGGGTTGGGAACTTTTTGATAAAAAAGTGTTCAAAAGAGGATTTTTGCCTCCTTTCCGCTCAATTTTTGACAAACACTTCTGAGCGTAGAAACTCATCCCAACTAGGGGGGGGGGGCATTTTTCAACCCGCTTACTAGCACATATATCAGTATGGTGAATTTGGTGAAATCATGTTTGAAGACAATTAATGAAAAACAACTCACAGCTTAGTCAAAATGTAAAAATCAATCACATTGAATTACTTGGGCCAAAGAAACAATCATCATTCACAATGTGTGCTCGGAAATATCCGGTTCAGTTGTTTCTTCTACCCGCCTCACATAAGCGTCAATATTATGCTTTAAGCAGTGATTAAAAAGATTCGGTATCAAAAAAAAATTTAAATTGAATAAAAATTTAAGCCTGTTATAGCAATGTGATGAGCATTGATTTTTTCCAGCTGTTCAATTGATAAAAAAATGTTTACTGTTCTAAAACCAATAATTTTCCTCGCTTTATAATAATTTTTGTAATAAAACTTCACACGTTAACAGGCAGGTATTCGTTCACTTTTCAACGTTTATTACAATCAGAAAAAAATGAAAAAAAGTTTATATAAGCGAGGAAAAGTTTTTTTTTACTGGAAAAAGATGAAATGAAGAAGAAAAATGAGAAGAGCTTAGTATTCTTTTAGGAAAAAAAATTCTTTCGTTTTCAGAAAAAAAAACAGCAAACTTACCCGATTGGAGGACGCTGAGTTCCTGTTTCCGTACTCGCCCGCGGCTGCCCCCTTGCTCATCCCTGAATTGCCCGAGCATTCTCCGTTGAACGACTGGGACCCGAAAGAAGCATTGGGTCCTCGCAACGTTCCTTCGGGAGGATAGATGTCCATACCTTATTACACAAGGGATAAAAATTGCCATGGAAATTTACAAATTAAGGAGGTTTTCCAATATAGTAAAAGAAAACGCAGTCCATGCTTCTGAAAAACAAAATCAGAAATTGGGTTAATTTGGAAGATTCCTCTGCACCTTAAAATATCAAGTAAAGACCTGCCATCCCGTTTCTTAATTTTGATTCAATTGCTTAGAGCTGTCAGTAAAAATCTCACTTCTGAAGTTTCCTGAACTGCAAATTAGAACCAAGCTACCAGCCAACCCCCGAAGCGGCTTAGGGGGGAGGATGTCAACCCAAAAAATTTACTGAAAAGGCCATGGATTTTTAACTTTGTGCAAAACGACAGTTTTTTCGTGTTTTTTTTTCTTACATTGTCCATTTCAATTAGTCTTACAAAAAATTTTAAAAAAACAGCCAACGGTCCTAGAAAAAATGGATTCAGTATAAAAATCCGGTAGAAGTTTTTATCCGCTCTGTTGTTTTTTTTTGGTACCTCCAAGTTCATCCTCTTCATCTATTGTGCTGACAGCGGTCATTTTGAGTGCCATGGCCCCTATGTCTGCCAAACTCACCTGAAAAACAAACGAAGATCTAAAAATTTACAGATTTCAATGAAAATTCCTGAAACGATTAACAAAAAATCGGCTACAACACGTAATACAGGCCTAAAAATTAATCTACGTTCATTCTATGTAACTTTGTTAAGTATTACACCTTTGATGCGAAATTTTTTTTTCGATCCCCATTAATGACTAGTTCAACAATTCAGCATTTAAAAGTTTTGTTCTTCGTTTCATGAGCAAACTGTATAATTAAAAGTCGCACCGTTTAGGTGGGTGTTTGTTGAATCTAGAGAAGTCTTAAAACCTCTCACATTTTCACCGCCTTAAAAGGGTTAAGGGGGGACTAGTTAACAAGACCCAATCCATGTTTGAAGCATAGAAAAACCCTAAAAATTTGAAGAAAAAACACTGAAAACCGCTCAATAAATTTTGTTCCGCAAAAAAATGATAGAAAATTGTTGAAAGCGTAAAATTGAGCCAATTTTGAATCGATAAAAAGCGAAATGTTTTTTTTTGCCGCAATTGATTGTCCTGCTGCTACTTACATATAGATTTAAGCCCATAGGGAAACATTGGCGTTGTTAGTTGGGACAAATTTACGCGAACATGCTGGAGTTATATAACATGAAAAGAACATGTTTCCATAATCAGCATAATCAATGTGCAAAGATAACTTACTAACGCAGAATCCGGAAACTGCTTTTTATTATTTCTTTAAATGTCTTCAAGAGTCAGAAAATTATTATACCCAACAGATTCAAGATTTGATACACCGCTTGTACACCTGAAGTAATGGAAACAAAAAAGCGTCCAAGTGAATATATTTTTTTTTCTTTTCAAAAGAAATATCGCTAAATTTTGTTTTAAAAATCTTTGTGTTTTTAAATCTTAAATTTTTAGTGTTTTTTAGTGGTTTCATTGAATGTTGTTACTAAGCTTCGAACTTCACTTTTTAGATCCATCATTTATGGAACTGTATCGAAACAATTTCTCGCTTTGATTTTTAGGGCTATTCAAATTAACTTTTTATTCATAGGCTATTAAAATCTATGATGATAGGCTATGATAATAAATTTTAATAGCCTATATAAAAAAGTTAATTTGAAACAAACACATACAATCGAACGTTGTCCCAATAAACCCCTCGAAATGAGGAAAGAATCCAGAATCATTATGAAAAGATTAAAAATACTTTCAATTTTTTTTGATAATGTTCTTCAAGAGAGTTAAGTTTCTAGACTCACTAAATATCAACGAGACGAGTTCTTCATCACAGAAGACCGCTGGTATATCAGGGTGAAGCACTAAATGTTCCAAATGCCCCTGAATTGGTATCTAATAGCTTTTGCTGAAGAAATGTTTTGACAAATGTAGATAGCCGAAGCGTGCCAGAACACAACAAATGAGCATTTTAGAATTTTTGAAGGGAGTTAGCTCATACGACTCAAGGCTCAAAATTTCAGGGTTGCCTAACCAATATTTTTCAGATGCTAAAAAAAATCTGTCAAAAACGCTTAATTAAAAAGCCAAAAATTGACAAAAAAAACACAACTAACATAACTATTCCACGCTATTTTCGAAAGTCGGGACAGAAAAAAATGAAAACAAAAATTATATCAAAGTCAAAACGTTCAATGAAATAAATTTTTGTGAACTTATCTCATTGAGTCCGATTATTTCTGCAGTTTTTTTGCAGCTTTAAGAAATGGGAAGCGTTGATTGGAAGCAAAAGTAACAAGGCTGCTCGTATCAGGGCGAAGCCCTGAAAGTTCCGACTGCCTTTCAAGGTCTATGGAGCAATAATAAGATGAAAAATTTCAATGTAATAAAAAAAAATTTAAAAAATTTTTGAAAAAATTTGAGATTTTATGTAAAAACATCCCCCCACACGTCATATTAAGTACAAAGTGATAAAATTTGCGCCTATTAACAAATCAATTATGGCATATAAGCTTCCTTGAACCAATTTGGAACAATTTCTAAGACGGATTAAATCTCGCTTACGCGTTAATAGCGCGAAATTTATCGCGCGTTAATTGTCCCAAATTGGCCAAAATGGCAATCTTTAAACACCCATAACTTTACAAAAAATGATCACAGGTGAAATATCTTTTCAAATTCAAGTTCAGGACAACAATAGCTTTTGAATAATAAAAAAAAATCCGTCAAAAACGGCTAGTTAAAAAGTCGAAATTTGTCTGAAGAAAAAAAAACCCACCCCGAGCATAAATATTCCGTTACTTTCGTATCGAAAGTCGGAACAAAAACAGATAAAAGTATTAGAGTAACAGGATATGCAAGATTATCTAGCGGTATATTAGTTTGATAAACAAGCATTTTCATAGTAGTTTTATTGACATTGAAATGTTGACGCGCTTATACGAATATCTTTCTCGAATCCGAAACACAGCACGAATGAGCGACTCATAGTGGTCCCATTGCTATTCAAAATCAATGCTTTTTTCGCATTGCTTATAATATATGCTGTTTAGAAAACAGAGCAACATATATCGCATATAGCAAAGTAAAAAAAAGATCAGCAAGCAAGTCCCTCAAATCAACTTGGAACAAGGCTGCTCGTGTATCAGGGCAAAGCCCTGAATGTTCCGACTGTCCCTTAATTCATATCGAATAGTTTTTGGGAAAAAAACGTACTGAAAACGTATACATTTTGGACAATATCAAAGTGTAAAATTTTGAGTCGTACGAAATTATTACGACCAATTAGCTAGCCTCAATTCAATTTAGATCGATTCTGTTGAGCGGGATAAGTCAACACGCAAAAATAATTCGAGTTACGCTCTCAGCATTATGAATAAACTCTTCATAATTTTGTGCAGAACATGTCAAATTTGGCTATTTTCAAACCCCCAGAATGTCACAAAAAATCATCGGAGGTGAAATATCTCATTACATTTGAACTCAGGAAGTCGATATCTTCAATGGGGAAAACGTTTTGTTCAAATTTATTATTTCGATCGGTGAAAATTGACTGAATAAATAAACCCCACCGAGCATAAATAATCCGTTTTCTTCGAAAGTCGGAACAATTAATAGTCCGCTTACGCGTTAATAGAATGAAATATATCGCACCTTATTTATTCCAATTTTGCAAAATGACAATTTTCAAACCTCCATAACTTTACAAAAAAAAACACTGGTAAAATATCTTTCTGAAATAAAGCTCAGGAGACCAACAACAATACTTTTCGGATGTTTTATAAAAATTGGGTCAAAAACGGCTAGTTATAAACTCGAAAATGGTCTCGAGAAAAACCATCAAACACTATGAGAGAAACTTGAAATTCTTAAAATTGGACAAAATTACATAAAAATTTCCACGCTTCAGGACTGGGAATATACGATTGAATGATCTTGCAGGTGTTTCAATTTTCGGCAAGTTGTTTCTTGAATATTTTTTTAAATAGATCTAAATAAAATTGCAAAAACAACAATGACAGTTCTTTATTTTCACTGTTATTTTTTCTTTTTTAACTTTTGAGTCAAGTGTTATTTTTTCATTTCGTATTTAATGGGTGTGTTTGAAAGCGAATGCTTTCAAAAGTCCTGCTTTTTGTTTTATAATGAAAAACTTTATGAAAAGATTATCTTTACACAAATTTTGTTTACCCAAAAAAATTACAACACTTTTCGTTAAAAACATCAATATGAATAAGTACTATTCATTAAGGGGATTAAAAATAAATTAAAACTCATTAAAGCTGCTACTAGAAGTTCGCTCGGAAAGGAATTGTGATCTAATTTTTTCTCGTCCTGATCTGTTAGAAGACAAACTTTCTTCACTTTCAGAATAATTGTTCCTTGGTTCCTTTCCTATATTTTAACTTAAAATCATCGAAGCTTTAAGAACTCAGACTTCTATTTTGCACATTCCTTCTTCAGTTTTCTCTTAGCAAAGGGCTTGCAAAGGGTGATTAATTACTTTCAGGTTGATTTACTTTGACATAAAATTAATCAATTTTCAGGAAAACTCAAAGAATTTTATTTGCAATTCGCATCTGCTACTTTTAAAAATTTCTTCAGTTGTGTTGCACACTTTTCTGATACCGATGCTTTTCTAAGTTCTCATTACAGCAAAGCAAAACAGAGTTACCTGTCTAATGATAGAGAAAACAAATGGCTATATCGGTGTACAAATATGACACACGATACTGGCATTGAATTTAAAGAACGGAGCCCGAGCAATACGCAGAATGGTCTAAGAGCAGAAAGGATCCAAGAGCAGAAAAACAGAAATATATTCATTTTATGCTAATTGGTAAAACAATTATTAAAATTGTCACTATTACCAATTGAACGAACAAATCTTCTATAAATTGAAAAATTTTACCATTTTTTTTAAATTTAAGTTTAAAAAACTATTGAAATTTTTCACTTAATGCGTAATTTATTCATTTCCTGGTTCAAGATTTTAATTTATGTTTCAACCGTCTTAACCAGCAAAGGTCTGTTTCGACCATCTCGGCCGAATTCGGGTACACTTTGACTTCCCATTGTTTCGCTCATGGGAAATCTTGCCAAGATCGTGGCTTATCTTGGATTATCCGCGTGACAAATAAACAATCCATTAATCCATGATCTTGGCAGAATTTTGCAAAAGTTGAAATATAAATATACCCGAATTTAGTCGAGACAAAACTTTTTCGGCCGAAACGGTTGAAATTTTAGATCTACTTAACAATCTCTTTGACTCGGGTTATTTTGCTTTTTGTTACTTTTTGTAGCTTCTGTTTCCATTTATGTTGCATGTTTTTGCACTGAGGGTAAAATTTAAACAACAAAAGTGTTAGTAGTTTTCAAAGTTTTGATAGATAGTTACGCTTCCTGTAAATTCATGCCATTCAATGAAAGCGACGTCTCGTTTGATCCCCAACTCTTTACAAGCGACACGCTTAACAATCGCGTTTTGGTAATTTGTAGATTCCATCGTCTGATTCCATCAAAAGTTTTTCTATGACCAAAATTTTTGAGGTGGTTTGTATAAGTGGTTGTTTTTGTTGGGGGTCTTCCTACTTATTCCCCCAAATATCTTAGTGTTGCGATAGTGTAATATTCAAAGTAAAAACGCTGAGAACAAAACACTGATCGCACTTATTGGTTTGTTTAATCAAAGGCGACCACTTTGTTCTTCAATCGATTTCTAACACGGCAGATGTTGAGGTAGTTTTGTTTTTCAATAGAGTCATTTTCGGTTTTTTAGCCTCTGGTAAAACTCTATCCCTTATTGTTCCGACTTTCATAAGGAAAGTAATGGAATAGTTGTGCTCGGGTGGGTTTTTGCTTCAGACAAATTTTGAATTTTTAACTAACCATTTTTGACGGAATTTTTCATATCATTCAAAAGGTATGGTTGTCTTGAGCTTAAATTTGAAAAGATATTACACCTGTGATCATTTTTCGTAGATCTATGGGGGTTTAAAGATTGCTATTTTGGTCAGTTTGGGACAATTAATGCGCGATATATTTCGCGCCGTTAACGCGTAAGCCGAGATTTAATCCGTCTTAGAAATCGTTCCAAATGGGTTCAAGGACTCTTATTTGCCATAATTGATTTGTTACTAGTAGCGAAGTCTATCACTTTGTACTTCATATCGCATGTGGAGGGATGATATCGCGTGTATCATCTTAATCCAGCGATGTAACTTCCAAAAAAAAATTAAAAGTTCGAAACACATCATTTAGTGGTCGACATTTTTATAGCTAAGTGCATGATAACCAAGTACACTTGCTGCATATAGAACGCGTTAAATATCAGATTAAAATTCTCAATCAGACTAGCAGCAGTGCTAAAGATTGTTATATTTCACATCAAACTAAACAAGACTGACCGTATCAGGGCGAAGCCCTGAATGTTCCGACTGCCTTTTAAGGTATACGCAGCAGTTATAACTAGAAAAAATTAAATGTAACAAAAAAAAGTGTTTTTTTTTTAGATTTTTTGTCAAAATCATCCCCCCACACGCCAAAGTACAAACTGATTGATTTTGCTCCAAGTAACAAATCAATTATCGCAATTAAGCTTCCTTCATCCAATTTGGAACGATTTCTAAGATGGATTAAATCTCCGCTTACGCGTTAATAGCGCGAATTATATCGCGCGTTAATTGTCCCAAATTGGTCAAAATGGCCAAAATGGCAATCTTTAAAACCTCATAACTTTACGAAAAAAATAACAAGTGAAATACCTTTTCAAAATCAAGCTCAAGGCAACAATAACTTTTAAATGACATAAAAAATTTTTGTCAAAAATGGCTTCTTAAAAAGTCGAAATTTGTCTGAAGAAAAAAACCCACCCCGTGCACAAATATTCCGTTACTTCCGTAACGAAAGTCGGAACAATAAATTCAAGGCGTATAAATGTTGTTTTTGGACGATTCACTTCTTTTTGCCACATTTTCTGCATAGAAACGCACATTTTTTGCGTTTTGAAATCAGGTAACGATTAGTTATAATTAGTTAGAGTATTTAACGATTTGCTAATTCTTTTCGCTTGTGACGAATTGTTACTCACACATTTCTATTACAGCCTGGTTAGTCTAATAATGATTTACCTGCAGGGGTCTATGAATAGTTCTGGTCTGACCCCAGGATCCTTGTCTATTTCCATAAAGTCCCCCTCGCGAGGACTAAGGAATAAAGTTAATCGAAAACAGAGTTAATGTGCAGTACTAACTACCACTATGATGATACACAATGGAACAGAATAGAATGGAAAAATTATAACTAAACAGAACAGACAAACGGAAAAACGGGAAAATATTCAGGGGTTTTCTTGGGGGGGGGGTGTAACAATTGCGGCAAATGAATTTGGAGAAAAAGTGGAGAAAAAAAAAGAAAAAAAATCGATTATTTGTGGATTTTTCTTTAAGAAGAGAAAATAAAGTTGAGCTGCAACAAGACAAAATACTACAAGTTACGACAAGTTTACTTAGGTTTTGCAAAAATGTATGAAAACCATGTTTTAGGCTTTTTCTCTTTATTTGTTCACAATAATTTAGTTTGACAGCTGTAAAAAAAATTTTCATTCCAAATCAAGGCTTTTTTCTTTTTCCCCACCTCACAAAAACATGGTGTTTATGGGTAGTTTCTGGTGCAATGAGTAGCTTTACAAGGTTGGAATGAAACTCAAAATACCAGTTTTTTCAAGTGGGAGGGGGGATAGAAATTTTTTTCTAGGTCTTGTTAACTATAATTTTTAGCCCCTAATAAAGAATTTCCACTAATGAACTAATTCAGCAATTAATAAACACCCGGGTCTTAATAAAATTCAAAGTCTTTTTGGAAGATTCTTTAAGATTCTTCTTAGAAAACAATTAATATGTAGAATTCTTATAAGCAATTGAATTCATAGATGCAGATTCTTGTTAGGAGTGAAAATTTCAAAAAGTTGATTTTCCGATATCGTGGTGGGGTGGGGGTTGAAGACCCCTTCAAATGTTAATTCGTGTATGTGCGTAAGTGTTTGTAATTGTGCAGGTGCTTATACTTATATAGATACATTTGGACTTACAGGTGCATATGCGTATTAAATTTAGTGTCATTCGCATTATGCTCTCTTCCCCAGCAAGATATAGCCCCCTTCCAACTCCAAAATGAAAAAATCGCCCTCATTCCAAAATGGTATCTGAAATGATGACTCACATCTATGGACTTCTGGTTGGGTGGCATGCGTTTGGCTCTGTAGCTGGCAGCTGCGAACTCCAGTAGACAGAGGAAGACATAGAGGAAACACATGAAGTAGTAGATGTCCAGTGCCTTCAAATCCGACACACTCGGGAACCTGAACAAACATAGAAACACCTCACACTTCAGCTTCCGGGTCTTTTTCCTCCCCCCGCCTGCAAATTTTTGTAAAAAAATTTACAATTCACATTTTCCAATTGTCATGAAAATTTACATGCAGACTAATTAGGCCATGACAAACATATTTGGTCATCATAATCAACCTTGTAAAACCACTTGTTAAACCATAAAATTGATGCTCGTGTGAGGTGGGGTGGGAGGAAAAAGAGCCAACTTCGGCTCTTTTTCTTCATCTCCACTGTTACACCCACGGTGTCAGTAAGTAACGTCAAGTCTATTTGGAGACGGTTAAAAAATAAGAAGAGTTCAATCAACTCAAATTCATTCAGTTTAAGTTAAATCTGAAGATTTTCGGATCTGACCTCGAAAGCATGTGAGTGACAGTAACTCATAATAACTAGTTCATACTTGATGAAGTTTAAGAAGTACGTATTTATGTCAGACTTCTATAGTTTAAGTATATATATCAATTGGTTTTTGTATGTAGCATCAGGTGGTAATCTAAATATAGTTTTATGTTTTGTTGTAGGGAAACTGATCTTTCCTGTGGATATTCTATCATGTCCGTCCGGATAACATTCCCCCTTTTTTGAAATGATGATTCCATCATAAATTCCTCTGTATGTGATTACTTTTGTTGGTCTTCGTTTTTCTTGCCATCTGTTTTTGAAGAATATTGTTTTTTGTGTGTGTGTGTGTGTGTGTCTTCTCTTTGGAATTTCATTTTTGGAATTTTATTGCGTTCTCTTTGGAATTTCATCGAGTTCCTTCGAGATTTCGATAGTACAATGCTCACTGCCGTGTCGAAGTTCGTCAGGTATGCTGCGTCAGGTGTGGTCGTTTTTTGTGGTCGGTCGGTCACGTAACATGAGCTAATTGCTCTTTCTGGCTGCATTTGTGGGCCTTGTGCAAGCTGCTGATCGCCTCTGGACTTGAATAAGCTGGTGTTTGTTAATTTGTTGTCAGTTTTTTGTACTGTCTGCCCGGAAGTTTTCCGGTGTTGGCAAACCCATTTGGACTTCCGTGTATTCTATGGAAGATGACACGGCGACGATTTCCATGTTTGGCTCCTCCCTTGTAGTGACTGGTTTCTTGGCTGGTACTATCTGGACTTGGCATACTACGTTTTTTGTGATCGTGTCCCGGTCATCATTTTGGTTAATAGGGATAAAATTGCCGAATTTCCTGGCAAGCGTACTTGTTCGGATCCTGGTTGAGCGGCGTCAGTCCAGTGTGAAGTCCTCTGGGGTGCGTTTGGTGTCAATATCTTTGGCGGCTGGTTTTTGTGGCGATGGCTTTTTTCGGTTGAGGTCTGAGTCGGAAGAGAGAGATATGGAAGTGTCGGACTCAAATGGGATGTCTTGTGTATTTGCGCTTTTACACTTTTTTGTACGGCTGCATTTATCAGTTAGTTTTTTCGCTTAAAATTTTGCTTTTTCGGCCTCCTCTATGTTTCGTTGCTTTTCTAGTTGCGTCTTCTTTGCTTTCGTTATGACAGGCTTGAATTATTTTTGGGGTTCTAATGCTCGTCTGTTTAATGATTAGGAGATCGATTTTCCGATGTTTTTCGGTGGAGGTGTTTTAGGGCTTGATGCTGTTCCTTTGTCTGGTTGGATTTGGTTGCTTGTTGATGATTTTTTTTTCAAAATTGAGTTTCAAAGGTGTGTGTGCGTGGGGGGAGTAATTTCAAACTTTGCTCATTTTTGAGCATCAATTTGGGCCACCTTCAATCACCTTACCTGGGCATCAATTTTGTGGTGTAACGAGATATTTTACAAGGTTGAGTATTAACACCAAATATGTAGCCATCAAAAGAACCTGACATCCTTAAATAGCCATAGGAGAGTTCAAAAACAGTTGTGCATCATCACACCGTTAAAACAATTACTTTATGTGCAAAGGGAGTTACTCAGTCTAGACTGGGAGCCTTCGAGACTAAAAGAAATCGAGCGAGAGGTTATTCAAATTTGCCAGCTGTCTGTCCAATCATTACCAATCAATTATTCTTCATCTTCTAAATCCCTTTCACTGTATTCATGCTCTTTTGAAGTAAAGCAAGCCTCTCTTTCAAACAAATGTTCCCTGTCTTTTTTTGTAATCCATTTGCTATTGAATAACTCTTTTCAATTCTGGTTGCCACAAATATTTTCAAAAGTCCCCCCTCCTTCCTCTTTTTGATACTATTTTACATCAATTGTTGGCTGACACCGGCATTAAATTTTTTTTTCTACAATGGGCTTCTAATTAGTATAATATATAATAATAAAATTACAAGTTATTTATAACCTGCATCTAATTAATGGATCTTGTTAACTATGACCTCCCTCGTGTTAGCTTGTAGCGAATTTGCCCCATATTAAGAAAGAATTGAATGTTAAGCATATACGAATGTTGCACCTTTTGCAACAATTTTTCCCCCTTTTCAAGGGGGGAGGAAATTAAATAACAAGATCCTAATTCATTAATAATAAATAAGTAACCATTTATAATCATTTAACAAGATCCTAATTAATTAACAATCAGTTAATAAATTATAAATGCTACCTCTGTTGTGTGCCGCCTATGAGTGTGATGATGGCGAGTACAGTTGTGATTGAGAGGGAGGCGCGGGCGGGAATGAGGTCTGGCGAGACCCAGAAGGACACCCAGGAGAGACAGACAATCATGCCACTCGGCAGGTAGTCTGCCAGAATATAGTGGAGTAGTTTCCTCTCAAACACTATGTTCACACACAGTCGACTGTAGTTTCCACTGTCGAAATGACGTATACTCTGTCGTGAAATGAAATGGAAGTGTAAGAAAGGCAAAAAACACAAGAAAAGCCGCTTTGAACCCCTCGTCTTAGAGGGGGGGGGGGGGGGGGAGGGGGGGGGGAGGGGATCGCGCGCTAAAAAATGCTACTTTTAGTTTTAGGTTTTCAAAAAGTGCTCGAACACATAATTTTTTTCTTTTTTACCATTTTTTTCAATACTTGCTTTCGAAGCAGAAGATTTTCAAAATAGTATATTAAAAGTGCTTTAAGAGACCTCGGGAAATAAGTTGGGTCATCCTATATAGAAAGGGAAGACTTTGAAAGTTTTTTTTAAAGCCGCTCCCTCGAGAATATCCCGTATACACCCATAATACAAGCAAAAATTCAAAAACAAGAACTGTTTCGTTTTTTCTCAGTTTTCTTTCTGTTTTCTTAGCAAAAATGATTGACTTTGGTAAAATTGCAAGAAATAATAATAGTTAAACATCGAAACAGTTGTACCAATCTGACTTAATAATAATGATAAATTTGTTTCCAGTATAGGTCCACATTCATCAACTAATTTTTATAAATAATCATTTAAAAAAACCAGTCTGGATTATAAGACAAGTTATGCCATTAGTCAAGTTAATGATCTACACTAGAAATGCATAATGATTTGAATATGCAAAAATTATGCCTGTTTTCAGACGTCTCTGAGCGCAAAAAAAAAAATTCTTAATAGGGATGGCGATGAAGTACCACTTGTTTGCTGATATATGTCTGGCCTCGTTGTAGAGAGTAGAAAAACCAGCCGAAGTATAAGCCAACCGAAAATGCGCCGAGTATAAAAGTTGGCCGAAACGTTACGTCACATCAATGAAATTTGCATGACTTTCAATTCTGTTTCATAAGGGTTACACAACTATTATATAACGCTTAAATATTTTCGGCTGGTTGATACTTCGGCTGGTTGATATCCCACCTCGTTGTAGGATGGGTTGCTGACTGTAAAGTGGGCAGTCATGGGCAACTCAGAGTACTTCCTCAGTCTCTCCCCGAACACCACCGCCCCCCTCTCCCGCCAGTGGAACTCCGCTTCCTCCACAGTGTGCGTGTCTGAGAAACAACAGCTGGCTTATAACTGATTAACAGCTGAATTATAACTAGTTTAATTAGGAGATTTGGTGAAGTGACTTTGTAGCTCTCCGCCTCTCAGTCGAAAGGTCGGTAGTTCGAGTCCCGTCATGATCTTAATCCTTGCTTGCAAGGTTGGGGCGATACTCTCGGTTAAAAAACAAACATTTAAAAAAGTGCTTGAAATTCAAAACCAAACAGCTTAATTCTTAACCAACACAGCTCGTAAGCTGGAAGAATTTTTCTTAAGAAAGGTTGCTTAGAATTAAATCAAGTGAGAGCCTGCGATTAAAGTGTTCTATCAAAGGATTGGAGGTTAAAATCATAAAATCAGCTACCATTAAGAAAACGATTTTTGATAGTTTTTGAGCTTTTCATTCAATTGTCAATTAGGCTTAGAAATCGAATTAACCAAGTACAAGAAAACGGAAAGTTTGACTTCAGTTGACATTAACTTCAGTCGTTTACTCGAGTCGAACATTCCGAAAAGTTCAAAAAATGGTCAAAAAAGTCTTTTCTAAATAGTCGCGAGCGGCAATTTACAGGAACACACATCATCACCCTAGTCGAACTCGAATATCTATCTTATAGGATTGTTACAAACAGGGGCGGAACTAGGATTTTCTCGAGGGGGGGGCGGATTTTCAAAAAATTTTCGAAAATTTTGTCGACTTTTTTTCTTTTTAGGTCGACCAAATTGATTTTTCGAGCTCTCCCAAAGCACTGTTTTATTCCTATTTTGGCCAAAATTTGTGCGCCGAAGGCAAAATTTTTGAAAAAATAGGCCAAAAAGGCGTTTTTAGGCACTTTTTGGAAAATTTTGACCGAAAAAATGCGTTTTTTTGGCGCGCACTCATCCCTCAAAATTAGTATATATTGGCGTCTAAGAAAAAAATTAAGGTTGGTCGGTCAAAACTGGATTTCTTAAAAGTGCCAAAAGGGGGACCCTTTGGGTCGGCAGGGGGTCGAATCCCTGAGGAAGAGGCGTAAGCCCCCCCCCCCCCCCCCCTAAATCCGCCCCTGGTTACAAACATTTTTGTAGAATCGTATAAGATTTTACAAGGATACGCATTCGAGGTCGATTAGGGTTCTCGGTGCCTTAAGATTAGATCCTTTCAGAACAAAAATGGGTCTCGGGTTCACCACCAGTCGCGATATGCTAGAACTTTTCTTATTAAGAAATGAAAAAATATGGGAACATTTTTGCGAATGACAAACTTTAACATAGTGCAATTTTTAGTTGCATGGTAATACCAGACTTAGAGACCATAAGGCCGTCTGAGGGAATCGAATCCTGAAAGGGATCTCATAACATCTTTCAACGATGAGCATAAAAGGTCGACTAGGGACTTCAAGACGCTGGAAATATCGTTTTGTATAGAATAGAGACATCTCGACAAAATAAAACATTTCAATCTGATGTGAGCTGTATTTTTAGCCAGTTTAATTTCATCTTCATTCTTAATTAGATACTTGCCTAGTTGTGCGTGCTTATTCGAAGACCTGTTGACTGATTTTGTTCAATAGAAAAAAAAACAGTCTTAATTCAATTCTTTTTTATGTTTTTTTAGCTTTTAGCTAGTCAAATTGTATATTGGTGATATTTGAACATTCTTTATTTGAATCGGAGACTCACAGCTCTCGACACAAAGTTCGCAGTGTTGGACATCGAGGGGAAAATGTCCGAGGAACATGACACATGCATTGTCCAGCTGGGCCCTGGAACTGTAGCGGATGGTCCCGTTGGAAAACACACGCACCTGCAGAGAACAAAAACATCATCATTACGAGGCCAAGCTGTGCATTTTGTGAATTGTAAGCGGATTCTGCAACAGGCGAAAATGAGTGTTGTCGCGGAATTCACAGCATTGCAACTTTTCCTTGATCTTCCTTGCTGTTTAGTATTCCATGGACAATTAGCTAAAGATATGCAAATAGTTTGAATGACTCATTATGGCACAAAGCCATGGTCCCAAACTCGACACACGGATACCTTCAGAGGGTCCCCTCTTTGCCTTAAGTTTTAGAAAAAAATTAGTGAGAATGTTTGCCGAATTGCGATTGCGACGGTCAAATAAAACAGAAAGGTCAAATAAACCCAGCTTTTCCAGTTTACCGCCCCTCCTTAAGTATCGGCATAAAGTTATGTCCAAAAATGGTCCCTACGGCAAATGCACTATTTTAGAACAATTGTTCCAAAAACCACTGTACTTGTGGACACTAATGTTTTAGTATCAGCTATAACAGAAAAATGATAAAAATAGTTGTGAATAGGGTTTTAAAATTAGGGCTCTTTTCCAGTTTCCCACCCCATCGTAAAAAAACTGCAAAAAAAAGCCGCTCAAAAACTGTTCACGAGGCAATTTGCATTTAGGAAATGCTCTAAAAAAATTTTCATCTGTTCACGCTGACACGTTGTAATGCAGTTTATACATGAAAAGTAATTTTAAAAAGACTTCCATGTAATGAATTTCAGAAAAAAATCGAATGGGGGTGGAAACTGGAAAAGAGCCAGATCCTAGACCGGCGTATGTTGCCAGCACTAGCCTGTATATTGGTGCGCATGACATCCGGCACTTGGGCGTTTATGCCGTCTGGAAAGTAGATGGTGGGCACCCACAGCATCTCATCCCTCTCCACCGACTGATGTTCAAAGGTCACACTCGGCACTCGGGGGTCAAACCGGAACCTCCTGTCTCTCCACTGCAGATTCACGTACAGGTCATAGCGCACCACCTGGTAAATAAAGTAGTGAAAAAATCAGTTAAAAGTTCATAATTTCCTCCACGGTTTACTGTGTAATAGTTGACGGAGTGTGGCATCATTTTATTATTTTGATTAATATTAGATTATTTTTATGATTATTATTATCATGATTATTATTATTATGATTATTATGATTATGATTATTACTATGATTATTATTATTATTAGTATGATTATTATGATTATCATTATTATTATTTTTACTATCATCATTGCCCTTTTAAGATATTGCAATCGGGTACTAGACTTTTGTCCGTAAATAACTTCGTTCGCAAGACTTTTTTAATCTGAACTCATTTCCGGGAAGTTTTTCAACGCAACATTTTTACCGCTACTAAAATGCTAACGTGAACCGGTAAAGCTCATGTTAGCATTTTAAATATCTGTCCTATTCGACATTTTTTAATGTTGGTTGTAATTTTGTTAACTCGGTTTGTTAAAACTTCAATTTTTTGTTTTTCTTTTTTTTCTCGGATTGAAATATATCGACCTAAGTTATATCGGCTTGTGGTCTCATATTGCGGTATACCGCTCGACGAGCGAAAATTTTTTTATTTTCGCGTATGTGTTTTGAGAGGGAGGGGGACTTTAAAAATATATTTGAAAGTATATTTGAAAATATATTTGAATATATAAGTTTTTTCTTCGGCTTTTTAATTTTCCTTGCTCGGCATAAAAGGTTTCGCCCTTTTTTATATCAGCTTTTAGTGGCATCATAAAGCGTCGTTTGAAAAGCAAAGAAGGTTTTGTCTGTGTGTGTGTTTTTCGGGGTGAGAGAGACTAAATAACAATTTCTTAGTCTTCGAGTTTTTTGAAATTTTTTTCGCTTGTTTGTGTTTTTATTTTCTTATTTTATTGGCGTTATATGTTTGAGCCTATGTTTTATTGACTCACTAGCTTCATACAATTTCATTTGACCAACAAATTATTTGTGTGTGTGTCTGTCCCGCACTGAAGTTTCATGGATAATAATCGATTATATTGGATTTTCATTGTCAGTCTCTACAAAATAACAAAAATAATCGATTATAATCGATTGAAAATGGATTATAATGATAATATTTTTTTAAGCAATAAAATCCCAATATAATCGATTATAATCGATTATAATCGATTATTTTCAAAAAAAAATTATCAAAAGAAAAATAATCCATTTTAATCGATTATAATGGATTATAATCTGTTTATTCAAATCTTTTTGTTGTTTTCATTTTTTCAGAATTTCGCTAAGCTTAAGTTAGTTATTTTGTTTCTCTTTGTTTCGCTTAATTTCATTTTTTCCTATTTTCAATCGAGTTATGAAAAATTACAAAAATTTACCTATAGATCCCACACCAACTCCCCCACGCTTACCCGTACTACAGTTAGATTTAGATGTCCCCTAACTAGAGAGAGAGAGAGAGGGGGGTACGTCGTGGTTGGGGGATGGGGGATGGCGGTACGTGAGGGGATGTGGGATGGGGGTACGTGATAGGGGTACGTCGTGGGTTAAGTGGGGGGGGGGGGGGGGTACGTTGGGGAGGGAGGGTGGATACGTTGAGGGGGGGGGGGGGGGGTACGTTGGGGGGTGGGGGTACGTTGGGACAGGGGTGGGGGTTGACGTGAGGAGCTGGTCAAAAATGCTGTTTTTGGGCACTTTTTGGAAAATTACTACATATTGGCCGCCCGTAGATGAACGTGTTCGTTCAAGTTCTGCATAAAGTTGCAAAAATTAGAGTCATTATTTACAAAATTTAATCAATTTTCATGGATTTTATGTACAAAAAATAATCCACTATATTGAAAACAAAAATGGATTATAATCGATTATAATGGATTATAATGGATTTAAATTTTTCCAAAATAATCGATTATAATCGATTAAAATCGATTACGTGGTCTAAATTTGACATAATAATCGATTATATAGGCAACATTTTAGTCAACGAAAATCCATTATAATCGATTATTACCCATGAAACTTCGGGTGCGGGGTGTTTTGAGCGTAGGGGACCCAATAAAGTCTTGTTGAATTTTTTCGTTCTTTTTTTTACTTAGCAGCTTTCTTTTTGTATCTTAGGTGGTGCGAAGTATGATTTTTTAAGAATTATTCTTCTTACGATTCTTTTTGAAAAATTATTATTACTATTATTGTATGTAAATTTAAGTGAGCCCTAGCTCACTTAACATGTTGGTAAAGTTCAGTTTCCAATATAAAAAAGAAATGAAAC